AATTTTTTAAATTTATTTCAACAGTTTTTTTAACTAATCAGTCAAATTAATATTAATTCCTATTATCTTCCATCCTAATAAATTTAAATTCATTATTACTATTTTATTTTATTTCTTATTTTTCTATTCTCACATAATATCTTTTCCATTCCACTTTTATTTTATTTCAAGAATCAAACATGCTTTTAATTATTAGTAAAAGAAAAAGTCCTAGAAAGTTTTAAATATATTTTTATTATTTTTGTACTTCGAATCTATGATTTTTTTTTTGAAAAAAAAAAAGTCAATTGCTTACTGAGTGTATAAGTTTTAATTATAGTCACTAACTACTATAGTTCATTTTAAATAATACATAATTAGATTTATCAATGGGTCGTCTCACAAGGTTGGTTTCATTTGAATCAAGATAAGGTATTTTAAATCCGAACCTTAGAGATATTATTTCATTAATAAAAATATATTATTTAATTTTAATTATAAATTATATTTTAAATATTAAAATTATAATAATTTTTAGTATTATAATCAATTCTAAAACTTAGAATTTTGAGTTTGAATTTTAAAATTAAGTTTTTCAAATTTAAATTTCAATCATTACTTAAAAAATTATTAAAGGGACATTTGGTTCATAGGAATCTATGCATTTTCTTTTGAAATTTTATTACTAGGTATTTAATTCTAATGTTTTGTTTTAAATAATTTGATTTCAAGGGAAAGTGATAGGTTCCCAATAATACTCTAAAAAATGCCTTAAATAATATGGTTTAAAAAATTAAAAAGTATTATTTAAAGTATTTTTTATCAAAAACGTCTTAAATAATCCTTTTAAAAAAATTTAAAAAATTATTTAAAGTATTTCTAGATAAAAAACGTCTAAAATAATCTTCTGATACATTTTAAACGAAACTATTTAAGACATTTTTTGAACAAAAATGTCTCAAATAATCTCCTTATATTTTTTAAAGGATATTATTTACGATATTTTTGGATAAAAAATACCTTAAAATTACTCTGATATATTTTAAAGGAAATTATTTAAGGTATTTTTGGATAAAAAATATCTTAAATAATTCCTCTCGTATTTTTTAAATAGCATTTATTTAATATTCTTTTGAACCAAAAACATCTCAAATAATTTTTTTTAAAAAAAAATTAATTATTTAAGATGTTTCTTAACTAAAAATGTCTTAAATAAACTTCAATATTTTTTTATTGATGATATTTTATAAATAAAAACAACAATCAAATAAAATATATATTTTTTTGCTATTAAAGGTATAATTTATCATTTGAATATTTATTATTAATAAAAACTAATAAAAAGTTGCTCTCATATATCTCAAAGAGATTATGGTAATTATTCAAGAATTATTATATGTAGATTCTTCCAACCAAACGAACAAATTTAAATATCGGATGTATTGAAAATAAAAGAAAATTTTGGTATCACATTATTTTCAAAGATCACTTTTTTTTTTTTTAATTCAAGATTTCGTGAACCAAATATCAAAATAAAAATAAACATTTTTACATTCAAAATTTGTCAAACTGGGCATCTACGTTCAAAAATCCAGCTAATGGATTATAAGAAATCAATTTTTCCCCCAAGTATACACGGAAAATGTTTTCCCTCCTACCAGAATATTCCTTTCTGTCTCGTTCATTTGAGATTTTGTTTTCAAATGGCATTACTATTTCAATGAACTTTCAGAAATGGCCAGAAACTCGCAACAAAATATTTATAAAACAATTAAATATAATGCTAAAAACTACTAATGCAAGACCTTAGTAATTGTAAATGCATGAAATATTTATCAAAATTTAAAGCAAAGGTAATAACTATAATAAAATATAACATCACGATATATGTATGTATTTCAATAAATTGGCCTTTTTTTGTGGAAAAGATTGCTTAATTTTTGCACTTCATGGGATAAGAAAATGAACATAAAGCCCCTCCATTTTTTCTGGAGTTTAAAGCTCTCCAAAGCTCTTTTGGGTAATCCTCTCAGTAAGCAAAGCAATGCACAAATCTCAATCCATCATTTTTTTCTTATTACACTTGCAAAATCTTTCCCTAGATCACTTAGAAAACAAAAAATTTTCCATTAGACTATTATTATAAAAAAAAAATGATCTAGGGGGAATTTCATTGTGTTACCATAGAGTGAAAATAATTACAATTTGAGGTAAAAAAAATAATTGTTGAAAGAGGAAACCATATTTATGATTTTATGTAGAATTTTCACTCAATTAAGATATACATTACAATTTTTCCCAATTTTTTTATATAATTTAAATTTTGACTGCTATGAAACAATAGTTAGGGCGATATATTCCAAACGAATGTAAAATATTCTTTAATTTCTCACTTTGAGTTTTATTCAAACAGGACTCTCTTACTTTAATTTTCAAAATCAATATCAAAGTTCAAGTACTTAAATGGTTAGGTATGAACAATTAAGTGAAGGTACATATTTTAATTAAAAATGACGTTTATCATTATAGTAAGATGTAAAAGTACTTTTTTTTTAGGCCAACGATGTACAGAATATTTAAATCCCAAGCGTTGAATTTACATATATCACCATTAGGATGTACAAATGCTGACTGCTCTAGCTCTACAAAATTAAGTAAAATTACTTTTAACTCTAGTTTAAAAACTTTAGATTGGTAAATTCAAAAAAAAAAAAAAAGTTGAATTGATTAATTCCCAAATTTTGCGAAATTAAATTATTATGATTGACGTAAAAATAAAATTATAAGATATAAATTGCAAGAGACAAAAGGAAGAAAATTAAAATAATAAAAGAAGATATTTTTGGATGTAGATTACTACTGTAAACGATGCTTATTTGTCATGAATGTAAAATTTATAAGAGAGTTTGGTGGATAATAACGGTATAATCGAGTCGAGTCGAGTTGATATAGTGAAAAGTTTGAGTTTGAACTCGGCTTCTAACTCGATGCTCGATACTCGACTCGAACTCAATCGAATTTTATTTTCTTAATTTAAGCTCGATTCGTGATCGAAATCAAGCTACTTGAACTCGTTCGATTAAGCTCGATTAATATATTAAAATAAACTCCATTCTTATATTCGACAAGAGTTCGATTATTTGTACTCGAGCTCGAACTTAAATTCGAGATATTTTATTAATTAAAATAATAAAAAAAATTTAAATATAAAAACTCGATTAAGCTCGCGAGCTACTCAAATCAAGTATAAGAATACTCGAACTTGGTTCGATTGATAAGTCGAGCTACTCGAGCTCGACTCGATAATAATATAACCGAATTTGAATTTTATTCGAATCAAACTCGAGTAGCTTACGAATACTAATGTATCATTTATACCCTTAGTGAGCAAGCTCCAACTAGGGGTGTAATCGAGTCGAGTCGAGCCGATACAGTGAAAAGCTCGAGCTCGAATTCGCAGCTCGATACTCAACTCGAACTCGATCTAGTTTTATTTTCTTAGCTCAAGCTCAATTCGTGATCGAATTTGAGCTACTCAAGCTCGCTCGATTAAGCTTGAAAATATGTAAAAATAAGCTCAATTCTTATACTCGACAAAAGCTCGATTATTTGTGCTCGAGTTTGAGCTCAAATTCGAGATATTTTATTAATTAAAATAATAAAAAAATTTTAATATAAAAGCTCGATTAAGCTCGCGAGCTACTCAAGCTGAGTATAAGAATACTCGAACTCAGCTCGATCGATGAGTTAAGCTACTCGAGCTCGAATTCGACTCGATAATAATCGAATCGAATTCGAGTTTTATTCAAATCGAACTCGAATAACTTGTGAGTACTGATATATCATTTGCACCCCTGGCTCCAACCACTTTTTGTTACGTAGGCGTCATAGATTTGATAATTTTAATTCAGTAATTTGAAATAAAAATTATAAAAAAAATTTGAAATGTAATATGTTTTAAAATTTTATTCTAAAATTTTAATAAAAAATATATATAAATTTGATAAAAAAATATGTTTTATATTTATAAATTATGATAAGATAATTTTTATATTTTATATATACTTAATACAAAATAAATGTGATATGAATATACGAATTGTTATATCTAAATTAATTATTTATTATTTTAAAAAAAATTAAACCTACTCAAAAGTCAAGATATCTATTTGGATCTAAAAGTCTATCCAAATTTTAAGAGAATTTAAGCAAAAAAAATAGGCCCATTAAACGAATTTAGTTAAAATTTTTGGACTCGATTAAATTTTGAACAAATTCTTAAATATAAAATTAAAATTTAAGCTCAATTCAGTACAAATAATATAAATATAATTAAATTATTATAATTATATAAATATATATGTGAATTTTATTTTAATATTTTTAAAAATATTTTTATTTTTTTTTATAAATTAGATTTAATGAGTAAATTTGATTTTTTTTAACATAAACTAAGCTTAAGAAAAATTATAGGTCCAAAATATCAAATTAAATCAAGTCTAAACAAACATATAAATTATAAATACTAAACGAAAATCAACCCAAATTCTATCCAACCCATGAACTCCTCTAAAAAAATTCTACCTATGAAAATTTTCATTACTTTATCCAAAAGTAATTACGCATTTATAACTAAATTTATGATTACACTTTAATAAGTTTAAATTAAATATAAAATTATAAAAAAGAAAAAATATTTTAAATAAATATTCTACATAAATTTAGTTAGAGTGCACTTATCACTCTTAAAGAAAAAAAACTTTTCATTATTTTTAAAATAAAGGGATCATCCTTTCCCTTACCACTTTAGGGTAAAGCGGTAAAATTTCCTTCCTAATTATTTTTTATATAATCGCAAATGGTCATTATTTTCAATGTTTGGTAGCAAAACGGAATTCCCCCAATCTAGGATGGAAACTTTAATTTTAAGAATCCTCTTTGCAGATTTGACTCATTTTAGATCATGCATGTAATTTCATATTCAATTTTCCCATTAATTTTCAGCTTCATATCCAATTCCAATGTCTTCTACAACTCCATTTCCACAAAAACTTCGATATCCATCTCTTGGAACTTCCTGCACATCCTTAGTTCTTTCAGCCATCTTTTTCTTGTTTTATACATTCCTGTACAGCCATAATTGTAGCCAATCATTTGGCCTGTTGAATCCCATAGAAACCAAATGGTCAACTTCACCAGGAAATAGCAGCTCTCCCTCCATTTCTCCTACAGATATTAGCCACCTTAAGTTTATATTAGCCAGCTCCAGAAAAACATTGAAGTCCAGAAAAACATACATTGAAGCCTGGTGGCGACCAAATCAAACTAGGGGAAATATTTTTTTGGATTCACCTCCCACAGAACACTTCCTGCCCTGGCCTTCATCATATCCTCCATTCCAGGTCAATGAAGACATCAGGAAGCTAAGGGTATATTCGAAACTTGTTGTTCCAGCCGCAGTTCGACTCTTTCGTTCAATTCTGGAAACGTTTAGGCTAGGAAACAACGAAGATGCGAGATGGTATGTTATGGGGGATGATGACACTCTGTTTTTGGTTCATAATTTGGTTGAGGTACTTGGAAAATATGATCATACTAAATATTATTACATTGGGATGACTTCCGAGGCTATTAAATCGAATTCCGATTTCTCCTTCAACATGGCATACGGTGGAGCTGGTTATGCTTTGAGCTACTCCTTGGTTGAAGTATTGGTGCCAGCCATTGATGATTGTATTGAGAGATACCCTCACGTGCGTGTCAGTGATCAATTATTGTCTTCTTGTTTGGCTGATTTGGGGGTTGATCTCACCACTGAAAAGGGTTTTCACCAGGTAATCCAATATTTCAAGACCAACTAAAAATTATGTAAAAAGAAAGGAAATTTCACCTTTTATTAATTATTTCTAATTAACCAAGTGCATATGGATTTTGGCAACTGCAGATTGATCTACTTGGTGATGTATCAGGTCTCCTGTCCTCTCATCCACAGTCTCCCTTTGTCTCACTTCACCATCTTGACATTATAAACCCACTCTTCCCTTCCAAGAACCGCTATGAATCAATAAACCATCTAATGGAAGCTGCAAAATTTGACCAATCTCGTCTGCTACAACAAACCATCTGCTACCACAGGCCAACCAACTGGTCTTTCTCAATCTCATGGGGTTACTCTGCTCATATTTATGAAAATAAAATCCCTCGGAGTCTTTTGCGGAAACCCCTCGAGACATTTGCACCATTCAAGAAATCTGCTAGGCCTCCGTTATACATGTTTAACACGCGGTTTCCCTCTTACGATCCATGCGTAACTCCTCATGTCTTCTTCTTGGAATCAGTCAAGAATATCGAAAGCAACCAAGACCAAGTTCTTAGTACATACAACCGAACATCACAGCGTCATCTGCCACCATGTTCATCGAGTGGCAATCATTCGGCGGATCACATCACCAAGATTCACGTTGTTTTGCAGGCAACAAGTCGAAAGCAGGTTGGCCTCTTTTTCAACTTCTCTGCCTTGTATCATTTCTTTTCTCTCCTTTTACGCCCCGTTAAATTAATTAGCAACATAGAATTGGGTGAGATTCCTTAATCAATTCGTAAGGTTATTTATTTAATTCCATTAAGTAAAAGTTAAAATTTTGAAAGTTAAAATCTATAATTAAAAATGATCTTTTGCAAATTTTTAATTAAGAACAATATCTACAATCAAAATTTGTTTGATGTTGATTGAAGGTTAAAGATTTTGTCAAAGTTTTCAATAAAATTTTTTTATTTAAATAAATTATCAAAGCATATTCAAATTATTTTAAATTTTATTTATTTTATATATGTAATACTATCTTTTAATATTCTATCAAATTTATACTTTCAAATTCAATTTTTATTTAATAATTTTAATAAAATTTACTTAAAAATTTTTCCTAAATCTTGCACAAACTAGCTAGTAAGATGCATATAGGGTATTATCGTTTAAATATGAAACCTAAAGTAACTAAAATAATGCCTTAATCACAAAATTTATTGATTTGACCGGTTTTGGTAATGCTCAATCCAAAAACTTTGTAAGAGAAGAAATACTACAAGCGGCAGAAGTTTATCCCTAACCTTTCTTATATATAAAATCACAATGGAATATTTGATATGTATTGAAATTTATTACATTTTTATTATTATGATTGTAATTTGTAATTTATAATCTCTTAAAAAAAATAACAATTAAAAGAAAAAGATTATATAAAACAATTATGCCACATCAACATATATATATATGTCTATTTCATTCAAATCATACCACATAATTAAATTATTAAAAAAAGTCAATCATTTATTATACATCACATGTGATAATTAAATGGTGAATGTTTATTTTGATAGATTAATTAATTATTTTATAATAAATAATTAACTTTTACACGAATGTGATTATGTAGTATGATTTGAATAAAAAAATATATGTTGACATGACATAACCACTTTATACTATTTTTTAATATTTAAGTTTGTAAAGATTGAATTTTAATCACTAAGATAATATTTGGTATAAGGTGATCAACCAAAAAATCATGGTGATCCACATATAATAATTAGATCAGTGTATTTGGTAAGCATTATGTGATCCTATATGATAGTAATTTTGGATCACCGAGAATGATCAAATTACTATTTTGGAAGGTAATTTAATTACCATCCAAAATGATGAGAAACTTTTATCATCAAGGTGAAATAATATGTAAAGTCAACTATTGTCAATATTATCTTTTTAATATGTGAATTAAATGTTGCTATCTCTTAGAATTATAATTATTTTATATTATAAATTTTTATATTTTAAAACAATATTCATTGTAATAAGTTCAAAAATAATTTATATTTTTTTAATATTTTATAAAAATATATTTTTTTTTCTTTTATTATGAATTCAATAAATTAATTTTATTTTTTAATTCAAATATTTTTTACATAATTTATATTATAAAAATTAGTTTACTTATTAATAAATATATTTATTAATTTAATAATTTAAATCATTAACTTGTGTAACTATTACATGGTTATTTTCATATTTTTAAATAAAATAATATTTAATTTATAGTAATATCAAATACACTAATCTTTTATTACACAAAAATTAATAATTGTTAATCAAAAAAAGTGATTTTAATTGTTAACTTAATAAAATAATTTCAAATTACCAGTGATAAGATTACCTTAATAATAAAATTACTTCGATGATTACAAGTATTATCATAATTATCTTACAAAAAAACTAAACATTATCTAAAAAATTTAATAATACTCTACTAATAAATCACAGTACTCTTACTTTGACCAAAAAATTGCCTTATCAATGTAACAATCTTGTGATATACATAAAGTAACACCCTCAGAAATCACAAAATTGTTGATTCTTTCTTTGTTTAATTTACAGGGTGCAAAAGTAGAATGCTGTGATGTCCAATACGTGGCTACTAGAAATGTTGCTGACATCAAATTAAGGTCCTGTATCAGCGGGGAAGTCATTGCCTAGCTACAATTGCTTGCCTATATATAATATACTCAAGATTGGATTATATTGTTCAGTAATTTTTTAAAAAAAAATTGGATAAAAGTTTTTGGAGTTTCCCTATTTAAAATGTAGAATGAAAATGAGTTCTATTTTTATGAATAAATTGAATAATGTTTCTTAGCAGTTACTTTTTTTTCTTTTACTGCACAGAGCTATCTATAACGTTTTTCTAATAAATAATTTTCTAGGGATCAAAATCATAAGGCTGATCGACGTAATCATATAGCATATTTATGTAGTGGTCATTGTTTGAATATAACCTCCTTGAGCACTGTTGCATTAGAAAAAACTAGAATTCTATTGACACGATCTGCAGAATGATTTCCGGTGAAAAAACAATTTCGCAGACGGCGCGGTGCTTTTCGTCTATAGGTAGTAAGAACTAAGGCATCTCCTTCCATTTTCTTACTAATGGATTCCATGAAGAATACATTAGGAGCTTGAGTTGACGTGAATCGTTAGTAGGCAACCTGGTGTTGAAAATGTACACTGGAGGAAGGCGGACCATTCTTCCGGTGTGAAATGTCTCAAGGGGTTCCTTAGAACACTCCGAGGGTTATTGTTTCCAATATATGAGCCAAGTAGCCCCACGAGATTGAGAAAGACCAGTTGCTTGGCCTGTGTTAGCCGATTGTTTGTTGTGCCAAACGTGATTAATCGACTTCTGCCGCTTCCAATGAGATGATTTATTGATTCAATGCGGCTCTTGGAATTGATAGATGATCACTGGCATTGGAATGCATGAATGGATATCTCTCGAGACAATCATCCATCAACGGCGCAAGTTATTCCACTAGGGGATAGCTCAGAGAAAAGAAAGTTCCCCCGTACGCCATATCTAAGGAGAAAATAGTTCGATGTGACAGCCTCCGAATACATTCCAACATAATATCGCTTAGTATGATCATAATTTACTAATACTTCGACTAAATTATCCACAAAGAAAACAGTGTCATCATTGCCAAAACAAACCATCTATTTTTATTTTTTTTTTACATAAAATGCCGCAATCTGAGGCAAAGGAGGGATTATAGATACTTGAATTGGAATCTTAAATTATTAAATACTATCTTTTATAAGTAATTACATAAACCAACTAAGTTAAGCACTAAATTTAATCATTTCATATCTTTGTTATCTTTTAATTATAAACACTTAATTTTATTTAAATTAATTTGAATTTATTCGAATATTATAATTGATTTAAACGTTTTAATTTAAGCCAATTAAAATATTTTAATTGAATTGACTCTTTTAAATTTATTGCGGATTAATTACTTTCAGATCATTTTAATGAGTTAAAATCCAATCCAATTTGGGTTAAGATCCAAATTAATTTGGATCAATTCATAATTTTAATATTTGGACTTAAATGACCCAAAATCAATGTGAATCTAAATTTCAATTTTAAATTCCAATTAATGACCCAAATGCAATCAAATTAATGCCCAAGAATTCTACGGCCCAATTTCCCTTAAATGAGAAATTAAAAAAAAAAGACTTGATGCTGGCACTGCAACCAGTTGTACAGAGCAATAACTCCACTACCCTGCTGCAGGCAGTAACCACCAACCTGCAACCATTACTAGCCACAACAAGCCAAATTGCTTTTCAGAGAGAACAAGTTTTTAGCTGATCTTGTCTTGATAAAACGGAGGCAATACATAGCATAAAGGGGGAACGAGTTTGTTAAAAAAAGATGGGAGGCCAACTGAGAAAAAAAAAATATAGAGAAAGTTTCCCTCGGCCAACAACTCAACAACTTGGCCAAAATACTATTCTCAGCCCCAACACAGTTCCCATATAGTCTACAAACTCTCCATCACCACCGGAAGCCCCATCGTCAGCACTGAGCAGCCTTCCCCGAAACCACAGCAATTACCCACAAACCACAAAACAGCCTCTCCCCATCCAAAAAAAATCCCCTGTCAGAGCCAAATAACCGCCATCAATAGCTCCCCCATAATCAACCCAACGACAACCCACACTTCCACACCACAACCATCACCGAAACCCCACCTGAAAAAAGAAAACAAAAATAACACAAAAAAAAAACCAAAAGGAAGAAATAGCCTCATCCCCGAAGGGAACCACAATAAAAAAAAAAAAAAAAGTAACTCAAAATCCCCAAAAAAAGAGATTAAGGTTCGAGTAGATTTTTGTAGGATGTCTCTTAGGCGTCGGGTTCAACGCAGTTCAAGAAAGGGGAGATGGTAAGGAGCGACGTCGGTGGTAGGTGGCAGAGAAGTGGCGGCATAGTGATCAGTGGCTCGCGCTGGCAGGCTTTTGGATGATCAGAACCGGTGGAAACGAGAAGTGAGAAGAGAATAACTACATACTAAGAAGGTGGAAGGATCGGACGATAGAGGAGTCTTCGGCAGTTTGAAGTCCCGGGATTGGAATTCAGATCTAGGGATTTCGGTTCGTTTTCAGGCAAAACGGAGGCTGGAGTTGAGAAGAAGGGCCTGAGGAGAAGCTGGGTTAAGACTTTGGAAGCCAACCGGCGCCGGAGAGCGGAGGCCGGCACGGAGGCGGTGTTCCACCTGAAACTGGGCTGTTTGAAATCTGGTTAAGTTGATGAAGAGGGGGGAAAATTTTTGAAGAAAGTTTTTTTTTTAAACAGAAGAAAGAAATGCAATGAAAAAAAAAATCATTTGGCTTTTATATAGATATATATATATATATATATATTTTAAAAAAAGGAAAGAAAGGAAGCGGATCGACCCGACCCATTTTCTGCTCTTGACTTGAACCAGTGTCCAGCTAGACCCGATCCAAGATCTCCCAGCTCATATTTGGACGAGGCCCATATCAGTTTTCAGCCCAGCAGCTTTGGAACTTAGGCTAGCGGCATTGTCAGGTGGGCTCTCGTGGAACTCTTTACTTTGGGCTCCTGGAATTAGGGTCCATTTAGTATAGTCCTCTCCATTTTAAACTCTATTAGCCCATGCAATTATTTGCTTCAATTTCTGTTATAAACATTTATGTATCTATCAAATTACCGCAAAATACATGTTTAGGAATTAAAAATTATGAAAGCACGCGTTAGTTTTACTTTTTTATATATAATCTTGTTAAGGTATTTTTCAATCATTATTGATTGAAAATTTAAAAAAATAAGAAAAATGATATTTTTAAGTGAAAATAATTTTAAAAATTTTGTCTAGATATTGGAAGGAATTCGAATTATGTTTTAAATTATTAATTTTCTCAAATTTTACTTAGATATTAGAAAATTAAAAATTTTCTTCAAAAATAAATAAAAAATAAAATTTCTTTCATTCTTAATTTAATTTTAAAAAAAAGATTATAAGAAAAGATTAAATTAAATATGCATAAGATAGATCAAATTGATCGTTACAAATTTTTAGTTTGTACTTGTATCATTTATTTGTATCATGTTGCATTAAAAATATAATCTTTAAAGAGAAAATGAAATAATGAAAAGCGAGTTTGGTCTAAAAGTTCACTCAAATGGTGAAAATTTTTGAACAGGTTCATAAAAATATGAAAAGCCTACACCAAAACCCTAAATTTTTAAACCCCAAAATCTAGTCAAAACTAACTTTCTCTTAAACCCAATACCAACATAAAAAATCATCTCAAAATTCAAAGGTTCATATGAAAACCTTATATAGAATAGTCTATTCTCCAATAACACTTAGAAGATAAGATATTTAAAAAATTTTATTTCATTAAGTTTTTCGTATGATTTTTTAACCCAAAATAATATTAAGATCAAATAAAAGAATAGAAATACAAATGGAATTTTAAGTATAAATAGCCATACCTAATTTTTACCTAGAAGTTAGGAAATTTGGGTAATCTCTTTATATTTAAGAATGCAATTTCAAAATTATATCTCATTATCATATATAGTATCCATCGTCATATATTCATCTCTAAATTATTGTTAGCATTCATTTCACATGTTTATGTTTTTAATTATTGTTATTTATTTGTTAATTATTGCATTATTGTTTTCCCGCATAAAATGTTTTTTTATGGAAAATGTTATTCAAAATAACTTTATAAGAGAAATAATTTTTGGTACTTTGTTTATATGTTGGGGAGTCACCAATAATTATCATCTTTAAAAATATTATTTTTATATTCAATAAACGTCATAATAAGTCTTAGACGAAAAGAATTATCTTTAAATTCTGTTTCAATGTAATTTTAAAATAATTTTTAAACTTCAAGATTCTCTTAATATTTTTAAATAAATATTTTTAATAAAATTATTGTTTCATAAGTGAAAGGAATTATTAGTAAATTTTAAATTAAAATTATTTTTATACAAAATTAAAAATAACGTATGATTAATTGATATCATTTTTTATCGAGCATTATAAAAGTACTAATCCTTTACATGTATAATTGAACTTTCAAACCTTACTCTATTTTTGAAAACTAAATATATTTTTTAATAAATCTTAAATTTTTTTATTTTATTAAAAGATAATTTTTTAAATTATCAATCACACCCAATAAAAAAATCGATATTAACTTCTTTTTCTTTTATTTAATTTTTTTTCATCTAATTCTCTCTAAAACCGTTACCGTACTAATCTAAATAAGTCCAAAGCTCCATCTCACATCTTTGTCATCTCCTAGTCTAAGGCACCATTTGGAATGAATCGTCTGTTGCGCGCGTTCAAGAACCTTTTTGGTGCAATCGCACCGTGTTTTAATATTTGGATAACAATGGCACAATTTGGTTAGTCCTACCTGGCTCCAGTGAAAAAGCAAAACTCCTATGATGGGTTGCGTGGATGGTGGCTCACCGCACCATATTTTTAATTTTTTGACAATCTTGTCCTTCTTTTTTAATTAGTTAAGTATTAAATAATTTTTTTATTTAATAAAATAAATAAAATTTATTATATAATAAATTAATAATTGGAGATTATTAATTAAATAAATTTTCTCCAATTTTTATTTGGTATAAAATAATTTTA